AACACCTGGCTTAAAGTGTCAGCCCGGTGGAGGATGATGACGCACAGGACTTTGGCACCCCGCTGTCATTGAGTTGGCCATGAAGTCCTCTGTAGACTAAAGTGTTCTAGAGTCAAATATGAGACCATCTGTCTGACAGCAGAAGGTTGGCGCATACTGGGTCAAGAAGAAATACAATGACTCTAAACAGTAGGAAATTCACAAAACAAACCAAAAATAATTCAAGATATTGCAATGATTTGACAATCTGACCAATGTGCTGTGCATTTTTAATGTGCAGTGTTTTAGAATTATCACTTTGAGAAAATCAATATTGACAGTCAGGTTCTGGTTTAGTGGGCCAATACCCATTTCTGATATTTGAATAGCTGTGACCATTTGACAACATTTTTTCTAATACTGATTTCTCTTAAAGGACTATAAATAACAATAATAAAAATAAAATGTTGCCACCAAAAATAAAGGTCACACTAATAGTTTGTTGGACCGTAGTTAGCTTTGATTACAGCACGCAATCACTGTGGCGTTTCTACAACCTTCTGCAACGTCACAAGATTTATTTCCATTCAGTGTTGCATTAATTTGTCACCAAGATCTTGCATTAATGATGGTATAGTCTGACTGCTGTGCAAAGTTTTCTCCTGCATATCCCAAAGATTCTCAATGGACTCTGTGGAGCCAATCCATGTGTGAAAATAATGTCTCATGCTCCCTGAACCACTCTTTCACAATGCCAGCCCCATGAATCCTGGCATTGTCATATTGGAATATGTCCGTGCCATCAGGGAAGAAAAACTCCATTGATGGAATGACCTGGTCATTCAGTGTATTCAGGCCAGCTGACCTCATTCTTTGAGCAGATACTGTTACTGAACCTAGACCTGACCAACTGCAGCAACCCCAGGTCATAGCACTTACCGGTAGTTAAATTTAGGTGGCAATGTTTTATTTGGTAGTGTACAATATGTATTTTTATTGTTATTTTACTCTGGTTGTTTCTTCTTATGTCACGTTTTGTAGAATTTGAGCGCAATAAAGCAGACAAACATGAGAAAAACATTTATAATCACAAAAAACTATGCAAGAAAAAAAGCTGTTGTGGTAGCAAAACACATGATAAGAAAAGAAATGCAAAAGACAAAGAGGAAAACTCAACAGAGCACAATGTCAGCCTGCAGGAAAGGCAAAGACTGGGGGACTAAATGGACTGAGGCTAATGAGGAGGATGGAGACATCTGGCTTAATGACAACAGGAAACCGGTATAAGAGGGTACGGCAAAACCATGGAGAAAAGGTTGACTATGGAAAAGTACTGAGAGTACGCCCAGTTATACTAGTGGATGTTACACTCAGGTGGCATGTCAGCACAGTTGTTGGAGCTGTTGCCTCACAGTCACAAAGTCGCAGATTCATCTCCCAGCATTTCTGGACTTTGCATATCAWCTCTGTGTATGCGTGAGTTTTCTCTGGGTACTCCACTTTCCTCTCAAAATCAAACAAACAAAAAAGCATGCATAGGTTAATTGATAATTCAAAATTGTCCCCAAGTGAGAGCGTGAGTGGTTGTCTTTATTTGGCCCTGTTTTGGACTTGCAACATGTCTAGTTTGTACCGTGCCTCTCATACAGTGACTGCTGGAGATCAGCACCAGTTCCCTATGACTCAGAAGAAAAAGCTGATAAAAAAATGGATGGATTTTGTGCCCCACTCAAATAAAAAAGCCTCAGGCTAAATCAAACTGGCTGTCAAAGAAATTATTAGCTGATAAGGTTGAAGACTTGGTAGTAGGAAGATGAGCATTGTACAAACAATACAATATTTAGCCTGGACTCTGTTGACTTAATATTACACGGGCAGCAGGAGTCACAATAAATGCACCAGTATAATACCAGTTTTCCACTTCTGTATTTTTTGTCCTTGTGTCATAAAAGGTTATCCATAGTATGAGAGCAGTCAGTGCTGCTCATTTCATGGCCCCAATCCTCAGAGCAACATTTGCATTTTCAATATGCAAGGCTTCAAAGATCATGGCTTTAAAATGGGATTTGGCAACCTATTTGCTCTGCTGTTATTGCCTGCAAGTTGCCATCCTTGCAAGTCAGTAGAGGATGTCAGTGACATCAAATCCCCCTTGAGGACCGGTCCTGATGCAGTGGTATAACTTTCCAGGGCTGCGTCAATATGTCCAGGCTGACAGAGAGGAGCAAATTAAGCCGCTAATGGCAGACTATCTGAATGCTTGAATGTTTTCCAAGYGAGCCTTTTTACACAGGCTCATTCTATATACCTAAAACTTTTCAGGACAGAGAGGAGAGTCATATTGCTAGAAATGGGACAAGCGCTGATGTGGTGAAACAAAGAAGTATTACAGCACGTTTACTCTGTCTGTCGTCAACTTTTAATATTCTTTGATTTCACATCATTATAGAGGAAGCACRGTTTCTTAAAGACTTATTTACAAGTGCACATGAACACAGTGTTTACTCCTTCTTCATGTTTTGATGTGTTTCCAAAATTATGTATACAATGCACCGAACATGTTGTCCATTCAGCTAAGCAATGATATTCTAAACTGCCTAATAAACTGCTTTACTGCAGTTGCARAGCTTGAAATGTAATTAAGCTAGAAGTCATATGTATTACAAGTTTTAAAAACAGATATTCACAATAATGTTTTTTTCTATCTTTGATCTTCACTCAGTCTATTTATAGAACACTGGTCACATGGTTCTGTCTGCTCAGCTGTGTGCGTACAAATTCTGGTAGCAGCTCTGTTAGTTTTAATCACAGTGCAGAATTTAAACTTAGAGACATTTGGGAAAACAGCATACAATTTCACTAGGAATTGATATAGTACATAAAAATGACTGTTTTACGAGAAACAAAACAAACAAAACATTGTGCTGCATTTCTTGTAACAGTGACTCGGAATACAGCTGTCATCCCCACATGGAAGGAGTATTTTGATCACATCACAGATGTGTCTATTCCAAACATTTTATCAGAAGTAAAAGACCAATACAGGACCACCCTGATCCTGTCCCTGCACTTTCAGTCTCTGAACAGGKACAGTAAGCTTTGTTTTTACTGTAGCCTACTGGAAGTTTCCCTCGTAGCGTCCATGCTAGCCTCACATRMAGTGATATTWCTACTTAGACAAATTTTAAACATCRCCATTRAGTTTCWYTMAACAAAGCAGAAGCAGTGGCTCAAGTGATTAAAATCCATACAGACACAAACACAATCGATGCAGCAAGCTAAGCTAAATGACCAAAAAGAAAAAAAAYAAGTAGGTCCTCTGGACGGGTTCTTCTTTAATGAAATATTTTGTCTCTCCTCCAAAAGACTTCTGCAGTCTGAGGAGTTTCAAGTGAACTCAGCCTTATAAACATRCAGGTCAGGTGATGGGGCACATGACCCTCTATGAACAATAGAGCTAATCAAGGCACTAACCACCTATTGTTTGGCTGATGGCCCTCTTTTGCCTGTGACTAACCTGTCGGTCCACCATGTGGAGGCAGTGCTTATAAGAGTTCACCTGAAACTCCTCAGACTGAAGAAGTCTCTTGGAGGAGAGACGAAGCTTTTCATTAAAGAAGAACCCATCCAGAGGACCTACTTTTTTTTTTCTACCTGGTATACTGAGATGCATCAGGACACTAAGCTAAAAGACATCAGTAAAAACACAGACCTTTTAAACAATTCCACACATTTTCCAGTCTGAAAGAYGTTGACCCTCCAGCCAACGTTTCATCTAGACTTTCCTGTATTTATTGAAGTCAGATGTGCCAAAATTTGCTCTAGGAACGTCTTTTTCTGTTATGATATTACCATTAAATCGCTGTATGATCTATGCCAATTGTAAGGGTGTATTCACACCAGGAAAGTCCTGGTCCACTTGTTTGGTCCTAATTAAAAGCAGACTTTTTTGTGCGGTTTGCATTCACACAGTGCCCTTTTGCAAGCGGACTATAATTTATAAACAAAGTTGCGTGGGTGTCGGTCGTTGCTCCTGTCCCAGTGGACAGAAATGAAGGAGGCACAGACCCAGAAATACTGTAAATATGRCACTTTTAATAAAACTCCAATGCCATTTAACTTTGATTTGTTGAAGTTTATCCTATTATATCTGTCCAGTTTGAGCTCTTAGTCACTTTACTATTTATTTCAGTGATTTTTGTACTCAGTACCGTTACACTATTGAAATATTCAATTTTGGTTGTTATAAAACTTTCAAGGGAATAAAAGATGTGGCATTGAAAAGTAAGAAAAACAAAAATATATTTTTTTATCTTAATATTGAATAATCAGTTGTCAAAACTCACCATGATCCCAGTCCTTTAAGTCACCAGGTCTCCAGGACCAATCATCAGTAATGCCCTAATGTTTGTAACAGAATCAGAGCTACTTTTAATGCAGTTTTGCTTGAGGGCCCAAGCATCATGGCCATGCAAAATTGACTTTCAGCCTTGTCCTTTGCACTCAGAGATTTCTCCATTGTACATTTATTTCTTTTTAAGGATATTTTAAAGTGTAGATAATGAGATATTCAAAGTCGTCTTAATTTTTTTGAAATTATTCCATAAGTTTCAGCAGTTTATTGCAAACTGGTGAACCCCTGCTCATCTTTACTTAAGGTACAATCAATCACTCTAAAAATCTTTATTTATTCTAGATCTCTTACTGACCTGTTGCCAATTAACTTAATTAGCTGCCAAATGCCCCTCCAGGTGGTTTTTTGTTTTTGTACCTCTTATTTTTTTATCCATGTTTCCTTTCACAAAGTAACTAGTCTTCCATTGTGGGCTTAGTGCTGGAGGATCTGAGCAGGGGTGTAGCACCAAATTCTGGGCCCTGTACACTCTCGATGTCAGTGGGCCTCTATCCATGCCAGTGCACAAGGTGCATAAGTAAAAAAGGGGGTATTCTTTTTGACAGGTATACAGTAAATTTATCTAGAACATTTACAAATACAAACAAGGAAGAAAGAGACAGTCAAATTCAGCTTTGACAAGAGTGAGGRGAACGCAGGACAGGAAGTCAGCTCAGTACCTCCAACCCAACGTTTTGAGGACTTCCTGCAGTTCACCCTCTTTTATTTAGTTTTCACGCYCCTAGTTACCTGGACATGAGACTGCCTAAGGGAAGGGGGGGGGGAAGTGCAAGTCTCATGTCAGACATTAATCRTAAGCACAATTGTTGAACACTGCTTAGTTGGTCTTTTTCACTTCTGCTTCCCAACGTCCATCTTGTGCATCTTCAGGAGCCACAGGCGTGCATCAGAAAGTCCCGAGTGACCATTTCTCCTTCCTGTGTTCTGCAAGTCATCATTATCTATTTGGCGAAAGATCATAACAGCACAGCAGCAAAGTTCATGATAGCAAAAGTTCACTGTAACTAAGACACAGTTCACCACAGGATGATTGAGTATTTGAATGATAAAACATGTATATTAAAATTAACTCTATCACTTTTAAATAAAGAAGCATAAATGGGGTTTTAAGCTACAATCAGATCAGATTATATTGAGCTGAATGCATGCATTTGGCCTACCTGTGTTCAAATACCTAAAACATTATGCTACATCTGGTTTGTGTACTAATGTTGTGATCTATGACACTTGAGCAAATTTTGATTTAAAAACATTTATTCTTGAACTTTAGAAAAACTTTTGCTGCATACGTGTGCTCAATTAAACTGTCTGCACACATCATAAAATGAACACCAAATGTTTCTTTTGTGAAGCAATAATAGTCAAACCATATTAACTGAGATTATGTTCACCTTCATCCAACCATGCAGTGTACCAGCCCTTTAAACTCAGTAAGAATACAATTTGATAATCAGCATTAGTTTCATACAGAGACACAGGTGGAGCACTACAGGTGTGTTTATAGGTGTGTTTATCCTCTCTAACTGGAGCATCAGAAAACTTGTAATTTGTGTAAAGGACACACTTTAGGATGGAGGGGGGTCTGGGGGTCCTCCCCCAGACATTTTTGAATAAAGTAGAGGCTATTTCCTGATTTCTAGTGTATTTTAACAGGTTGTTAAAGATACTTTTACTTACACAAATAAAGACTTAATTAGAGACAACTAGAGACAGATTCTTCATTAAACTAGTTACATCGTCCTGTTTTTAAACTCACTTATGGCTCAGATAATTAAATTAATGTACATATTGTGCCACACAATGATCACACACAACGGCATGTTTCAAACTRAAATCATTAACAACTTTACCCAGTGAACAGCTGTAATTATGATAACCACCAACAGTGAATTTAGGGGGGTGTTTGACTTTTTTCTGATTTGATRACAGGCCGACTCATAAACTGACATGACATCATGCAGCTTTCTTCACAACATAAAATAACACTGTGCCAAACAACAGTGTTGTAAAAATGAACTTGTGAGTGTCATCAACTTGCATATAAATTAGGAAGAATTGATACATGGATGTTGGAACTGATTAGAAAGCTAAWGATGGATGGATTGACAGATTTATTTACTGAGCWTTATTTAACCAGGAAAATCTGAATTATGAAAACTAATTTCTACAACTTCCTAGAAATGAAAGTAATAAGCCTATCACTTTTATACTGGTCAAGATAAAATGAAACTGTTAATCATGCTGTAGATTATGCATTTAGATCAGTAACTTGTTTCATTAAGTTCACACAACTGACTAGAATGTACTGAAAATAACATTTAATATTTCCTTCACACCTGCCCATCACCTCATCTCTTACCTGAGACACTCTGTCCTACCTGAAACACTAGATAATAAAAATGTACTACTATAATATTTATAAGCTTTACTATATTCAATTCAATTCAAAAATACTTTATTGATCCCAGAGGGAAATTAATTGTATTAGGATTTACAGGTACTGAAGCAGGTAGACTAAATAACAGAAATATTTGGTGATTTATGAATGTAAATTATAATCAATAAATATCAGAGTGGACTTGGACTCAATCTTAGGATTAAACTACAGTTTAACTGATTAAAAACAACTCAATAATAGATTAAATGCTATCACTAAAAGAGATCACTAACATTTATGATATTTGACTATAGTAGCGAGCTAACTTTTCATAAGAAAAACAGCTGTCCTGTGGACTTATTTCTGGTTCTTTGTAAAGAATAAAGTTTGATCAAAAGTTGGATGTTCTGGTAATGAGGCTGACGTTACCTGCTGCAGCTCCAGGAGCACTGAGAATTCATCACCACGTTGTGTGTCTGCATTGTCTGCGCGTCTTGGTGTGTGTGTGTGTGGGGGGGGGTATAACCGAAACTTTTAACCAGCTATGCAGGCCAGCCAGTCAGCAGGCAGACCATGGGAAACCTCCTACTTTTGTCTGTCCGGGTCTCCCTGCAGCTCCTTCAGCTGTGTCTGGGTCACACACTTCCTTGTTGCTGTCGGGCAGACTGAACCATTTTGCGCCTCCAAAAGGGGGGCCACCAGAATGTCCAATATGGTGTGGACAGTAAAATAAAGTTCATTCGCTCAGTTTGTTACCAATATATTTGAAATAAATTACTACACCACTTAATTGAAGGGCCCATTTCMTTTGGGAAAAATAAATAAAAAATAAAATTAGGACTTCCATGGGCCTCTCTCCCTTCTTGGGCCCTAGGTAGTCAGGTCCACATTTCCCCCCACTTCCACGCCCATGGGTCTGAGGATGTTGAAATGTTTGAAAAAGAGGTGACTGTGTTCATCAAGAGTGCATATTTGCACAAGGATGTGTGGTGTGTGTTGGTCGGTAAGCATATTCTGATCAGGTTAGAGTGACAGAAGGATAATCCAAGTTGTCAGCACAGCAGTGCAGGCAGGAACCACTACATCAGTCTGTTACACAACACAGAGCAGCTCAGCAGCCGCAGCAGCTTCTTTGAAATGGGGGTTCCAACCCCCCTCCGACTGTTAAGTGTGTGTGTGTGTGTGTGTGTGTGTGGGTGGTAGAACAGACATACTCACAAAAAATATAATTAGAATCTGCCTTGACACTATCATTTGATGAACTACACCAAATATGTTTGTATTTAATGAGAGTGTCTGGAGGGCGAAGCAGAGTGGTTATGATATTAGCTGATTCTAATCACAGCTTTAAACATTTTCAACATACAGTAGATCATCAAAGAAACCACATCAAGTTATTCATAAATGGAAAAAAAGGCTYGATATCAAAACGTTCTGAAATCTGCAAAGACATGTCATGCATCATGTTATGTATTTTTCCAAGCCCTGCTGCTAAGTTGACATAAAGAAAGAAAAATCTCTGAATGAATTTCTGATAATATTGCATCAGCAGCTGGCTTATTTTGTCTGCGGAGTCTTTTTCATCTTTTGTGTTCTTTTTTTATTTAAATCAATGCAAAGCAACTTTTGTAGTAAAGCCATGCAGAATTATTAGACAGTTGCCCATTAACAGGAATATGGTGACAGTGSGGGATAAAAATAGACCCCATGTGTTGTGTCTGTTTCAGGGACATTAAACAGGAAAACCCACCTGTGAGCTCCTGCTGTAGTTGAAAACAGCCTTTATCTCATGCAGACGTTTGTCATAGTACTTTTAAATACTGTTCAGAAAAAAAAACTCAAATCCACTTACTGATAGATAATTTACCAGTATAATAGAAATTTAAATGTGTCATTGTTTTATCACTTACATCAAATAATGCTTTATATACTAGAATTCTAAAAATCCAAAACTGGTTTGTTCTTAAGCATTACSACATGTTTATGTTTTATGTCCACATTGTGCCAAGCTTTAGCTGTTGGACAGATGACCTCATATTTGACTTGATAATAAATTAGGATACAGAGGAGTTAATAGCTGACACAACTGCAAGGTGTCCTGGTCCTGCACCTTCAAAACACTCATCAGTCCTCCACCACTGTGCTGAAAGTTAGTATGAAAAAGTTTGGGAAGCAGTTACACCCTGTGACTACCACCTTTTCAGCTTACCATATGGCACCCAGGCTGGAAGAARCACTACTCTCTCCTGCAACACCATTTTGGCCAGACAACACTTCATCTTGTAGCCGGGTAAGCTTTCTGTTGGGTTTAGATGAACAATTTACATTTAAAAGATTTGGTTACTCAGATCAACTACCTGGGCTTTCTACTGCATCCACCCATCTTTCAGTGCTGGAATCAGACATCTTCATGGCATCATAGCTTCCCTTTTCAAATCAAGTCAGAGGTCAATAAGGAGAAAGTACCAAGACATCCCAGTCTCCAAGCACCAAGACTTGATCCTCTCTATGGTTCTGCAATGTGGTGGGCACTAGTCCCCTAAAGCGCTCAAGAGCCAATTGCAGACCTAAGTTTCTCATTTGCTCTTTAGGACTTCTGCTAATTTTTTAGAACTGAATGCAGATTTGCGTTTTCTACATTTAAAAATCCAGTAGAGCTAAATTAATTAATTATTTCATCAAGTATTGATCATCATTATATTTAACAGCGGAGGGAGAAAGCCAATCTTAACTCAATACAATCCAGAACCAAAACTTTCAAAATTGAAATACTGTAAATAGAGGCAAGACTAATTTTGATGTAAATAGCTGAGATTATGACTGGGAAGTTAGTTGAAGATTGTTCAAGAAAACCAAGGGACTGGAGGGATGAGTTTCTGACTCTGGAGCCAAGAGTTTGAATTTCTGGAAAGAGGGGTGAGAAAGAGAATCAACAATGCCTGTTTTGGGTTTCTGGTACATGTGCTGCACGAAGCAGGAATCGGTGTTGAGCAGAGACTAGAGTAAGTCCACGGAAAAAAAACTGCCAGATTACTGCAGAGTGAGACTGGTCTTTTATTAATGATTTTTGCAACTGTAATGTAATCTGAGTGGATGAGGATTGACTTCTTGGCTAACTGAATGGTCTTATCATAAAACCCTCTTCAATTCCCTTGGCTAGGAGAGTGTTAACTGTCAGGTTCTGACAGAGTGGACTGAAGTTTGTAATAGTAGAATCAAGAATCTATACCTATGTGAAAACCATGTGTGGATGAGAAGGTCTACAAAATCTCTGTCAGAGTGATTTTTTAGAGCAGATGTGAATGCATTCACCCTAATGGGTGTGGAGAGATGTCTATTTAGTCAATATGCTAAGGATGTTGACTGTGGGAGCAGAAGTTCCTTGCATGGGGCATGTAGCAATCTACAACTGAAGCTTCAGCAACCAAGAATATTAAAATTATTGCAGATCATTCAGGCACATCAAGAATGATGAATAGGATGTCATCAAGATCTGGATAGCCAAAGCCATTGGTATCCCTGAAAAGTGAAAATACCAGAGGAAATTTGATAGGAGTAAAGTCTTTTGAACGAGAACATTTAACCACATGAACCCCAAACGTGTATGCAGTTCCCTGGGCTGGCTGAAATTAATGGGAGATGACTGAAGAATTTGGGCTTACCATCCACCTATTATCTTCCGCTTTATCCGAAGCCGGGTCATGGGGGCAGCAGCTTGAACAGGGAAGCCCAGACCTCTCTTTACCCAGCCACTTTTTTCCAGCTCTTCTGGGAAGACTCCAAGGCGTTCCCAGTCCAGCCAAGAAACATAGTCTCTCCAGCATGTCCTGGGTCTTCCTTGGGGTCTCCTTCCTACTTTGGACATGACTGAAGCACCTCCCAAGGGAGGCGTCCAGGAGGCATCCTTACTAGATGCCCAAACCACCTCAATTGGCTCCTCTCGATGTGGAGGAACAGCAGCTCTACTCTGAGTCTCTCCCGGATAAATGGACTTCTCACCCCATCTCTAAGGGAGAGTCCAGCTACCCTGTGGAGAAAACACATTTCGACCACTTGTATCGRCAATCTTGTTCTTTYGGTCACAACCCAAAGTTCATGACCATAGGTGAGGGTAGGAACATAGACTGATCAGTAAACAGAGAGCTTTGCCTTACAGCTCAGCTCCCTCTTCGCCACCAGTACAGAGTCCGCAAAACTGTGGAAGCTGCACCAATTCGTCTATCATTCTCATGCTCCATTTTTCCCTCACTCGTGAAGCCCCCAAGATACTTGAACTCCTCCACTTGAGACAGAACTTCACCCCCAACCTGAAAAGAGMAATCCACCCCTTTCCAACTGAGGAGGACCATGGACTCAGATTTGGAGGTGCTGATCCTCATCATTACGTAGTTGGGCTAAATCTACGTAATTACCATTAAGGATTTGTTGGCATAATGCAGGAGATAAAGGAGAAGGACACTGAACTGATGAGGAAGTTGGGGAGAGGGACTGCTGTGGCAAGGTTGTAAAGATTATTGCTATAAGAAAACGCATATGGGAAGGGGTGGGGTAGGAAGGGGGACAGGATATACCATAAGGAAATGGAGGAGTAAATCCTGGAGTGGAAGGTTGAGATGGATGAGCAGGAGCCATGAAACGAGGCTCTTGACAAGTTTGAAGATCTTGAAAAGGAGAAGAAACCACATTAGTTTGTATGGCAGAAGAAAGCGTAGAAAGTGGTAAAACTTGTACTAGGACAATGAAAGAAGTTATTTGTTAACCTTGCAGGCTGTAATAATCTGGCACTGAGTAACAACTAAGGCTCATCTTTAAACCCAGAAAGCCTGATGAGTTAAATGAGAAGCAGGGTGTGTCAGCTGAACCCTTTGGAGCAGAGGTTGTGCCTGCAAATGCAGCTCAAAGACAGCCATTAGCCCACAGTTCAGCMTGCAAAATAAGAGAAGGAGAAGTTAAAAAGAGTAACAAATAATAAAAAGGATGATGTGAACTTGAAATAGTCTGGATAATAAGTTATTTGGACCTTCTTTACTTGTTGTAATTTGACTTTTTTTACTTTTTGTTTTTGGTGGCTGACCTCTTTGTGCGTTCTTCATGTTAACCATTTTCATAGGGAATCCCAAAGTATTTGAGCTGTCCTGAACATCTGCAATTTTGTCTTTAGATGTGATCACCTTGCCTCTCTTGGATACCATTTGGCAACATTTATCCTGTCTGAGTGACATTCCAATTACCTTGCTGTTTATTCTGATGAGGTAAATCAGTAAGATAATGTCTGACTCATTTTTGGCATTCAGCTTGATGTTATTAATGTAGTAGAGGAAGTATCTCATCTTTGGAAATGGTATAGCCACTCTTTGCAAATCTAGTCAAGTGATTTCAGGCCAAGACAGAACAATGGTGAGGAAAGAGCATCAGATACAGTCTCTCACTTGATGCTAACTTGTACAAGTGGTTTTAAATTGGCCCATCCTCTGAACAGTAGATTTGTGGTTCAAACCCTGTCAGTGAACCTCAGAACATAATACTGTAGATATTGCGCTGATTTACGAGACCCTGTCAGATATTGACGGACTAGGACATTCTGATAAGAAATAGTCTACGAGTAGACATTCATAGATGAGAGCAGAAAACATAATAGTGGCAGTTTTTCATTTTTGACAAAGAGTCTAGTTAAAAACTATCCCCCAAGAAATGCTGAGAATGGACAAATCATATGTGACATTTTTATAGTATAGAAAGTCTTTATAATAGTTCACATTATGTTAGACAATAAGATAATTGTGTGCTTTCACAGTAGCCAGTTGGGACCAAGTCTGAGGTCAGTCTGTCAAGATAAAATCCTACTGCAGATTATTATAATTTTTTTAAGAAATCAGAATAAAAGCATAATTACTTACCAACACAGATGTAAAAGGTTGCAGACGGACTGGTGTTGTACTAACACATAGTGTTTTAAAGTCTGACAGTCCATTGTTATTCTAATTCACGCCATTAAAATGTTATGGCCAGCAATCAAACTCCCTACAGGGACATTAATGTGAGATTTATGCACTCTATGCATTCCATCGTTATCCCAGTGAGGATTTAGCGTCCAGCTGCCCTGGGTTTTAATGCTCACTCATATCTTTTCTGCTAGAATAAGTGCCAGTGACCCCTTTTTTGCTAATTAGGGTTACATAATTACACAAGACCTTCCACATCTCCATTCAAGGTCCTAGCCTCGCTTGTTATAACGCTCAGCATTTGTATTCACTGCTGCTCCCCACCGAGCCTCTATCTGCTCTAGGCACAATCGGTCTCGTAGCTGAGTGTTATAAAAATGATCGATGGCTTACATGTTTGTCTTGAAAGAAATCAGGAAATTGACCAGGGATTACTATAATCTTTTCTCAAAAGTAGATGCTTTGCCCCACAGAAAAGTTTCAGGTGGGTGGTATTGACTCCGCTGCTCCATCTCTTCAGACTGAAGGTAAAAATAGATAAGCAGGGAGGTGGCTTGAAGAGTAGCACAATGAGAAATGTGCAGAGTGAAATGAGAGTGTGAATAGTAATGATGGAGGTGCAGTGCTGCGACAGGCCATCTTACTTCCATCAGTGCCAATTTATTTGCAGCTGTTTCATCACTGTCTAGGGCAGGGAGTTCAATCATGGCACCAACTTTCTTCATTTCAGCTAACCCTTATTTAAGCTCATATGTCTTAACTGAGAAACATAATTTGTTTGAAGTTTTTGCAGAAAAATATCCAACGCTGCCTCAAAGCAATGCAATCTGAAAATTATAAAATACTCATTTTGAACTAGAATGTATCAAGGTTCTTGTACCCTTTCTAATATAGTTTATACTGTACACACAGTTAACTGATTGTGTTTACCTCAGTGTTTTTATGAGATTGTCATTCTCGGCTGAGAGAAGATTTGTCTGGCAATCTCCCATGTAATGTTTTTTTTTTTTTTGTTCATAATGAATGAATAATACTTTATTGATCCCATGAAAGGAAATTACAGTATAATCTATTTAATTAAAACAAACAAACACAAATGAAGTAAGTGATAAAATGTTTACTGAGTTTTATTTGACAAGACATTTTTAACTTAACTCTGTCAGTATTTTTAAGAAAATTTGATGCAGAACATAATTAAATCCACATAATTTCACAGAACACAGCTGATGGACTCCTTCGGTCCCAGTGATGCAGCAAAATAATAATTGCTATAAAGTGTCTCTAATAATAAATTTAAAGTCAAAGGCACCATATTAATGACAATCACTTTCCTCATTTCTTAATATTATTGAATTATTCAACAGCTTAAAAGTTTTTGTTGTTGTTGGTTGTTGTTGTTTTTACCAACAAACCCTGTTTATAACATTTCAAAAGATATCCTCACATAAAATTGAAAAAAAAGTCTAATATTTTTCTACTTTTACAAGTACAAATCCTTTAAAGCTGAATACTGAAGAACTTTATTCTTGTAAAGTTACAAACAGTTTTCCATTTATTTTTTCCAACATTTAGCTCTAGGACACGAGAAGTCTTGAAGCCAAGATTTCCCTCCAACAGGTTTGAATTTGCAACACTGTAGCTTCAATTCAAACCTAAAATAAAATGTTACAGCTTGGGTACAAAATGCCTGATTTCACTTTTTATCAAGTACACAAATATTGATATTTTACATGAAATTTGCAAGAAACTTTCACATAGACCATGAAAAATAAAATATCTAAAACTATTTATATTTGGAGAGCTTTTATAATTTGTTTCAGTAAGTCCCATAAGTGAATTACATATCAAAAACTGACTTTCCGGAAAACAGAAATGCAGTTGTAATTATTGCACGTTTAAAAAGTTTATGTCTTGATTTTGACACAAGTTAAATATAGAATATGCAATTATTTCCACTAGTGTGTTTTGTATACACATTAAATCCTGCTTTGTTACTAAATATCAGGCCTGAACAAAAAGGWTTTTCCAATAAAACATGAAAAGAAATTGTGACTGAGTGGCTTTTTTATCCTCTGCCATGGTGTGAAAATGAAACAGATGGCTGATTAATATATTTACTGCCATTAAATTATTTTACATAAGAATAAACAAGAGAGTTCTGGTCAAAGAGTTCAAATATAAAAAGTATATATATCAGAGTCTATGAGGTTTTTTTGCTTACAATTTAGTTTTCAGACTTAATATTATTTAAATCTTAGTGTTTTGCCATTGTCAAGAATTTGGTATTTGTTTTCTTTACAATCCTTGTTTAGAGTCACTTTTATTATTTTTCTGACTTTGGGTTCTCCAGTTTTTATTTTAAAGTCTAAACTAACACGAAAGTGAGACTGGGCGGTAATGCAGGAATCAGCTGTGATGACCTGATCTGAACACACAACCTTCTTGCCTTTTGTTTTACTTTGGTACTTTCTGTTTGGTTTTGATGTTTAACTCCACACTTTCTCATAATTTGCTGAATGCCACACCATATTTGCATTAATTATTTTTCTTAGTTTTTAAAATGTCACATTATTTGCACCTTAAGCCAGTATCTCACTGGGTTGCAACTGCTGGAGACCAGTTGGGTGTTCAAAATTGTAAGAAAAATAAGCTAAATTTCTATTGCTGTCTCAACACATTCTGAGTGTTTGTGACCAGAAAGCTGTGCAGCAATTTTATTTTATTTTTTTGTACATGGCTTGTAAAGCTGTATTAGTTTTTCAAAATTCAATGGAAAAAAACTGTGCTTCTGTGATGTTAAGAAATGTGAACCTCCAAGTTCTGCAACATTTTGAACACTCCCTGGGAAACACCATTTTCAGTTTAGCTGCAAACAGTTGGAGCCCAGTGATAGACTCATCCTTCCTTCTCTTGTTGTAACATTCCCCTTTACCAAGACACCCAGACATTTTGTTTCTGATTTTTCTCTAACCTGTTTGCAGAGTCATAATTTTATGACAATACGAGTTTTAAAAGCTACAAATTAGCTTAGAACAGTGGCCAACAGTCCTACTGTTCATTCAAAGTAACAATCACTTTATTTGAAATGCAAACTGGTTTTCTATATGGTTCCTAAACTAACAAAATTTTGGCTGAGTATATTCTGACTTAAAAGCAGAATCAGACACAGATGGGGTCTTTAGAGTACTTTATTGTTAACAGATTTGAGTTCTTTTTTTGCAGAGTCAGGTTTTTGACTTGAGCAGATGAGGCCCATTGTACTGAAATCAGGTCCAGGGGATCTAGGCATGGTGAAAATAATGAGGTATTGGACAGTGAATTTTTATTTTTTTTTTTTGAGTGACAAACCAACAAATTGGAAATTTGTGTTTGGTAGATTTTTTTTTTTTTTGTATATGCTTCTTGGCGATAAATATTAATAAACAAAAGAAAATACAATAAACGGGGCACCTGACTGGCTGCTTCTGGGGTATCAGAAACTCAAAACAAAAATCAATAACAGCAGCAGAATACGTAAGTTGTTTGGCAGAAAGGATTGGGCAGCCTTTATCAGCTTTACTGCTCATGTCACAGCATGTTCCTTACAAATGTGGCACCATTCAAAGGGAAAATGAACAGACATTCCAGTGGTATAAGATTTATTTCCAAGAAGAAATAATCTACCAATTCAAATTCAATTACTTTTTTTGCTAAATTTACAACTAACAAACAAGTCATGGAGGTGGTGACTGGTCATCTGATGAAGCCTGTAAACACCATGTTAATCTTTTTTCCATACTTCCCTTCTGTAACTTGAGTCTGCATTTATTTGTTTTTTTTTTATTTGTTTATTTGTTTGCTTTTTTTACATTTAAAAATATAACATTTAAACCCTCCTCAAATTTCAGAATTTTCCAGTTTGAGTGAGTTTTCTTAAACCTGAGTCTAGGGTAAAGCACTGGTCAGTGTCCTCTCTACTGACACCGGTCACGTAAATCAGAGAAACAAATCTCACACAGCCTGTGTTCTGAGTAWTGCAGGCACTGGACCACAGCAAACTGAATCGGTTTGTGTTTTCTATTAATTGCACAGGATTGTTTTATTGTGAGTTCCTGTCTCACTCTGCATGAAGTAAATCAATACGGAGATCCTCTTTCCAATGCTTCTTAATCTTGACAATAGAGACTTTGGCTTTCATCGAACACACACACACACACACACACACACACACACACNCACACACACACACACACACACACACACACACACAGGTTTAGATATCAAATAAAGAGATGTTCTCATGGGAGAATTGTTCAAATTACACGTTCAATCAAACATGGTGCCTAATTCAGGAGAAAAAAGAAATGAGAGTAAATTTAGTCATTCAATAAATCCAATGATGCAAACTGACCTTTCACACCAAGGGCCTTAATAGAAGTCATTAGACTTAATAGAAKTTATTAGTTAGAAAAACCAAATGCTCTTAAAATGAAAAGTCTGAAAAGTCATATCTTAATGTTTAAAAAAAAACAGTTTGTTTTCTTTTGCCTGTTTGCTCAAGGACTTAATTTTGGAAAAATGACGCTTWAAATTTGAAGCTCAGCGCTCAATGTTTTGAACTTTCTGAGGTAAAATATCTTTGAACACAACTACTTTTGTGGGTTTTTTTTCTTCTGTTCAATTACTGTTTTAAAAATTTGTTAAAAAGCACCAATAAAGATTTAAGTGGAAAAATATCTTGGTACTGGATTTTCATTTAAAATTGGAGCAACACATTAGAACAGTAAAAAGAATACCAAACACAAACTTAACATATTTAGATTAGAAACTGTTCATCAGTTTTTTGCACTCAAATGATTTTCTCCTAAGTTTTTATGCAACATTTTGGTCCCAAGCAGGAACTACAACCATCTGCCTCCACCCTTATTTGTCCCACTGTGGGCCCTCGAGCAAGGCCCTTAACCTTCCAGCTGCTCCCCAGGCACCTAATATAGTACGTATGGGAGCCCTCTGTTCCGCATGTGTGATGGGGAAAATGCAGAGAATTCATTTACTTCCTCATTGGCGATTTACAGCAAGTCCTGGATAGCTTCTGAACCTGTGAACAGAGGGAAGATGATCAGATGGAGCTGGGAGCAACGTGGTAATGTTTTCTGGAGAACAAGGTTTACTTTCTCTCAGGAGGATCGTCAGTAAAAGTTAACAGCTAAGTTGAGTTCAGGACAGGACCAGAKCTCATGACAGGTGAGAGGACTTTCCAGGAGAGGAGAGGAAGCAGTTGAGTATGGTTCCGGGATGGCAGGGAAGGCAGCAGGTGAGTACCTCAGTGTAACTTTCAGGAACTTCACAGGATGATGACTTCACAGGAGCTTCAGGACAACTTTGAAAACACAAACGAGACAAGGTAAGTATTACTCAGTTAACTAGAATGATCTTTGGCTGTGATCAATACCATAAGGYAGTTGATGTTCCAGTGAAAGTCCAAGTCTCAAAGCTCCAGGCATCATCAGCTGAGGTAGGTGCAGCTGGGCTCAATCTGCTTCCAGGCAACCTAGATTGGAGGCGGGAACTACAAATGGTACAGCATTGTCTTCATATTGTAATTATTCTTTTAAACTGTATTTTTAGAATGTTTTCATTTTTATCTTGCTAAAGGCCCATTTGGGAATGTGCATARCAAATTAGCCTATAGATAATACTGGACAGCATTGTTAAAACATAACACTTCCCCCTATATAAATAAATAAACAAATGAAATTATYAAAAAGGTTTCATTTTTGCTTTTGGCTGTGTAGACAGGCAAAATGCAGCCTTTTGAAAAGAAAGATGCTTTAGTTCTTCCTACTACAGCCCCATGTGTGACAGATGTAACAACAATGGCAGATTATATGCTTTTGTTTGTTTTGCAGATGGTAGTTTTTCAACTACAGCAGAACTTTTGTACAATGTATCAGTACAATGAGCACACACAGCTGATGAACAATAACACACTTTGACACTCTCAGAGTAGAGCAAAAAACTATTATTATACAACAAAATATAAGGTCAAAAAGGTTTTTATGACCTCTAAATGTTGCATAAAAATATACAAGATACATCAAGTATGTATTTGAATGGACATTTAAGAAATTTAAGCACTTARAATAAAAACTTCCTACATTCAAGGATGCCTGAATAACATCCCTCCATGCGTAGTTGGATTGACATGGCTCCCAGTCAAGAAGGTTTTTGGTTTATTTTTATCATGAAGTAAATTTTCAAATTTGTTATCAGTTTACAAGAAGAAATTGTTTTAGCTCTTGAAGTTGCCGTCCCCATATTGTCCTTGTTGCATTCGTACCACATATGTAATCTTCATGTGAATGATTTCGTGTTTTTGGTATACTGTTATGGCAGTGCTGCAGTACCACACACAGGGGTGGAGCTAGACTTTTTTGCAACGGGTGTCACAGGGGTGGCCACTGTTTTTTTTTTTTGTTTGTTTGTTTGTTTGTTTGTTTGTTTTTAGAAGGGCACATACAAATTCTGAAAAACACTCTGGATTTGTACATTTAGGATGCTTGCCACAGCTAATTCCAAATCCAGAGTGCTTTTCAGTATTTACATGTGCCCCCGCAAAAAAAAAAAAAAAAAAAAAAATACCTTGGCTGCTTTAATAAATATTGAGCTGAAATTTTGCATAATAGTAGCTAAAAAGGATCATGAAACATGCTACATGCAAGTCACAACATATTATTCTACCATTTTTGGATATACAAAGCTGAAAATTAGTAAAGAAGAAGCCAAAAATATTTTTTACCAATTTCTAAATGCTTATCAAATATTCAAGATGGCCACCAAAGGTGACTTTAAAAGGTATTTTAAGATTTTTTGAGATGAAATTTGTAAAATTTGTTGTGGAGTAGCTAAGAATGGTCACAATGCTAATTGTCGATGCTTATCCCAAATATATATATATATGTATATATATATGTGTATATATATACACAGTATATATATATGGACCCAGAAAACTGTTAATTATTGATTTAATAAACAATATAACAGTATTGCGTGTGAGTTGGTTTAAACCCAAATAAGTGTTTCTAATCTGCTCTTAAAAGCAGGATACAAACAAATCTAGGGTAGGTTGGATCAGACATTGCATGGCTATCTTTTGAGGGACAGAGGTTAAACTCTAATGATAATTGGTGTTCTTATCCACTTTGTCCTCACTGGACTCAATCCTGTCTGATGAAGGCACATAACAGATGACAAATAGTTATTCCATCGATTTAGAAATATTTCAGTTCTAATTTTCCTACTGACATTTTGAAGGGCGATTGGTCTTGCTGGCTAGGTCTGTTAAATCTCTCCACTATTAATAAATGAGAACACTGGCCTCATACATTGTTGCAGGTGATGCACTGTTTTGTTTAGAACCTGATGGTATTCTCAGCAAGAGTGGGACAGTAACGCTATGAAATACCTCATCAAATTCACAGCTAAACCAATCAGACCCAGCTACCTTACTTCAAAGAAATGTCTGGGTAGCCAATATTTAATTTAATTTGAACATTGTATTCAAAAACATCTGATCAGTGGAACTGGTGGAGCAATAATATCCACATTTTTTTTACAGTGTGAATGCAAATTGGTGTTTTTTTTTTTTTCAGCCCCGCTTGAAAATTGAAATGCATATATATATACATACAGCGGGTAAAATAAGTATTGAACACACCAACATTTTTCTCAGTAAATATA